AAATCAGATGTACAAAATACAAATATGAACATCAATAAAGGGAGACGAGCAGTGGCGGAGCCACAGCTAGACCACGGGGTCACGTGCCCCCCTCCCCCCGGATTTTGGAATAATTTTTTTTTTGTGTGTGTGTAAATATAAAGAAAATATTTTAAACAAAAAAAATTATAAAATATTATTTACAGTGAAATATCAATGACATTTTTAAAATTATGAGAATAATAATGATTGTTTTTTTTATTAAAAATAAAGATATTACGATAAGTCATATTATTATCTATGAAAATTTCAATACAATCGTGATATCTATCATTATTGACATACAATTATAATTAATCTCAATAAAAATTCGGAATTTATTGAATTGTTAGGTACATTTGACATGCGGGGTTTATCCTCTATGTGTTTCTTTACTATTAGTTGGTGATATTATATGTCAATGATGACGTGATATTACTATTATATTGAATTTTTATTGAAATTTTGTATAAAAATTTATTTTATCATTATATAATTTATTTTAAACTTATATCCATGACTTTTTTTTTATATATTGTCCATGATATACTAATTACAAATAATATATATGTATTTATGTTTCTTGAAGCCAATCATAAAAATTTATATGAAATATTTTGTAAAAAATTTCAATGTTATAATTAATAAGTGTCCCCTCTGATTTAATTTATTGGCTCCGCCACTGGAGGTGAGTGTCAAAACATCAAAGCAAACTAGACAATTTCAATTAGGATGGGACCGAAAAGCATGCCAATCATCTACTAGCATTATACCATGGTTGAAGAGAAATCAACTGAATAAACAATAAAATCACCCCCAACACCCAAAAACACTGGTCTTAACAATCCATCAACACCTCGTACCAAACAAACCCCCTTCAAATTCGGACCCTCATAACAAACAATCACCTCAAACCAATACCCCCATCTCTTGAATTTTTGAGGTACCAACTTGTTTGGTTATGGATTTCAGAAAAAATTTATTTTTTTATTTTTCGTATTTTAATGTTTCAATGAATTTTTTTAATATTTTTAGTAATTTTTTTAAAAAAATTTTAGGTGCACTAACATAAAGGAGATTTTTTTTTTTTGTCCCTGATATTAAGATTTTATAGCATAAAGGACATCCAATAATTTTATAATGTCTAAGGTCTCTCAAATCAATCTAGAGGAATTTCAATCGAAACCAGAGAATTTCTCTGGCCCAAACCAGAGAAAATTCAGTCAAAACTAGAGAATTTCTTTGGACCAACTTAGAGAAAATTCAGTTCAAACTAAAGAATTTCTCTAGACCAACCTAGAGAAAATTCTATTGAAACCAGAGAAAATTAGGTCTAACCCAGAGAATTTCTCTGGACCAACCTAAAGAAAAATCAGTTCAAACTAGAAAATTTGCCTGGATCAAACCAGAGAAATTCAATCCAATACACGAAGCAGCGATACCGCCACGGGTGAAGAGATCTTCACACCATGGGTGTTCATCTTATCAACCTTTGTTTATTTTAATGCTCCAAAATTTTGGCCTCACAAGCCCCTTACCAACAGTGGCCTTGGCAAATACAGTCTTGGTAGGCATTTTGACAGCAATATTTATCTTTCAATTTGCCTCTAAGAGTTGATCACTTTGAAGTTGCTGCTTGGTGGTTGTAAAGCTTTTGAAACATATTATTAATTACATTCTTATTCATTTATGTGATTGCATATTAGTACCTACAAAAATGACGACAATTGAGAATGTAAAAGTAACAGAGTCATCATTTATATAATGCCATGCCTCTGCAATCTGATTGATGTTTCACTATCACGAATGCTCTTAGAAGAATGGTCAACAAGAAACATTTTGATCATTCAATAGATTGACTTTTCGTGTTAGTTGGAGCCCATGATCGCATCCTTATTCTTATTAAGGATCTTGTAGTTTACAGGTGCAGACACAGACAATGCACGACGGTGGAGCGGAGAAGGTTGTGACAAAGGAGGTGATCGATTTTGTGAGGCTGTTGGAGGATGAAATTGACAAGTTCAATGCTTTCTTCGTTAACAAGGAGGAAGAGCAGATAGAGAGGAAGAGAGAGAGAAGCCAATTTGATTTGAGAAAATAAAATTTATCTGTGATATATGGATTGTGGGGTTGAAGGACTTTAGACATTATAAATTAATATTGCAGATCTCTTCTATTACTAAAAATGAGAGAGTGACCTCAGACTAATTTTTCTTAATACAAAAACACTTAAAAAGTATAATATTTGTGAAAAAAAATCTTTGACAAATACACTAAATACCAAAAATATATATATATATTAAAAAAATAGTATATTTTTCATATTTTTGTGTATTTATTTATTTTTAACAAATATTTTATTATTTAGATACATCTAAGTGAGGTGCATCTAAAAAAGTAAAAAAATTGCTTAAAATTTTAAAAATATTCACTAAAAACAAAAAAACAAAAAACTCAATGTTTTAAAAGCTGAATTCAAAAAATTGAAATCAAACACACTAATTGATACTTTCAATAACTTTTTCTTCATTTATTTATTCCTTTGACTAGCATTGTTAGGGTTTGAGGCCTTATGAACACCTCTACCCTCATACCTCTTAGATTGAGATTTAGGTTTTATCTGAGAAGATTATGGCTTTGTTTAGGGGAGAGTTAGGCTAAAATAGTTTATTGAAAGACAAAATAGGTTAAAATAACTAACAAAACAAAATATCACATTAAATTTATAATTATTTCATTTTTTATCTCACAACCATCAAATCAATTACAAAAAAAAAAACCAACTTTTCAAACATAATTTTTTTAGCCAAGCTAAAATAGCCAAAAAGTAAAATAATCAACTAAAATAGCCAACTTCCCAAACAAGACCTACGTATATTTACTCAAAAAGTTAAAAAGTCATTACAAAAAGTCAACTCATTCTATCTATTTTTAAAAAGTCTCTTCGTAAAAAGTCAAAAACCATTTGGTTTAGTTTTGAAATTCATATTGGAATATAAGTTTTTGAAAATAATTTTGAAAGGGTAATTATTCAATAATTTCGGAGTATAGACACGTGGTATTCCATAGCATTGTGATTGGTGGAGAAGGTGGGTAGGTGGGGTATTGTGTTGAGTAATTGAGAAATATGAGGGACATATTGAATGATGATTGGTTAAGGAGTACAAACATGTGGTATTTCGGGAACATTAAATAATTTCTCGTTTTGAAACTAGTTTTTGAGTTGTATATTTTGACAGTAGTGTTTAGAAATTTGTAAATTGAAAATTTGTTTGGTTAGAAGTGTTCAAAACTAGTTTTTAATTAAAGTTTTTTTTGGATCTTGTGTGTTTTTTATTTTGTTTTGTTTTTGTCCTGTACTCAAAATATTTGACAATATTATAGTCAGTTTTGTTTATTTTTTTTACATACGTAGTCAAAACTTTTTACAATATTATAGTTAATTTTATTTTTTATTGTTATATATTTTTATTTTTATTTTGTTTACTTGTTTTACATACATAATCTAAATGTACCTTATACATAGATCTAATATAATCTATAGGGCAGAGTTTCATATGCATATATTAGTTTGTAAAAACATTTTTAAAATTTTAAAACTGTTTTTTTGATTTATATCCATTCAATCTACGTACATTTAGAATGTTTCATATTTGTTACATTTATTTTTAATTTCTTCACATTTTGTTTACCATTTATGTGTAGTTACTGGATCGTCTATACATATCTAGAACATAACAAATTAGAAAAAAATTTCAAAATCACTTTTATTTCTACCACACATCAATCAATCATTTTTTTTTTCTCTCATCTATTTTTCTCAATTATTTTTTTTCTCACACCTATCTATTCAACTACAAAAAAAATATCAAATAATCCCAAATTCTAAATATTTTCAAAATATATAATCAAACAAATTTTCTAAATTCTCTCAAAAAAATTATTTTTGAAATAATATATCAAAACACAAACCAACCAAGGCAAAAATTAAAATTTGTTTGGTTATGAGTTTTAAAAAGAGTTTGAAAATTTAAAACTTGTTTAATTATGAGTTTTAAAAAGGTTTTTTGAAAATTTAAAATTTATTTAGTTATTAATTTTGAAAAGAATTTTCAAATGGTTGAATTGAATATAAATTTGAAAATCCAAAGCTAAATAAAATTTTGAATTTTAATCTGTCAAATTGTGATTTGAGAAGTAAGGCAACTGGAGCCTCGGACCTTCTTTAGGAATAAGATATTTTAGTAATTTTTTAATTTTTTACGAAAAGATGTGTAGAAAAATTGAGAAAGTGATGTGATAATTTATAGTGATTTTTTAACTTTATGGTTAAGACTTGCAGTTGCCAAACAGGGCCTCAATTTTTGAACGCAACCTAATTTACAAGAGCTCTGTGTCCATTTGGGAATCATAGTAAAAAGTTACGTTTTGCAACTTTACAAAAACGCCACAGCAGCTACAAAATGCAACAAAAACCATTCGGCAAATGTGCAAAACGCAGGATGTGAAATTACGTAACTATCCTCTATGTTTACATCTTGAGGGTTAGGGCAAAATATAAATTCCCTAAGTTGAATGGAGTATTTTGGTCATTTTATTGTGAAATGACATCATAAATAAATATTAACTCAAAAAGTAATAAAAAACAGATTTTTACCAACTTCTCAAATCACTTTCTGAAAAGGCCAAAAGATTTGGTTAAAAGTCAAAAGTTAGTTTTTAACCATATTCTCAAAACACCCCTCTATTTGATAGCATTTTCCTTTCTTAGCCTCCGTTTGGGAAGTGGGTTGGCCTTTTGACTTTTTGGCTTTTTTGGCTATTTTAGCCTGGGCTTAAAACCATATTCTCAAAACACCCCTCTATTTGATAGCATTTTCCTTTCTTAGTAAATTTCCAAACTTAAGGGGTACATTTGCAATTTAAATAAAAATATTCCCGCCCAATTCAACTTACAAATTCACCGCCATCACAAAACCCCGCCACAAGCTATTCGTTGTTCGAAGCTACGGTTTCGAGAAAACTCGAGCACTTCACATTTCACGAAATCCTGGATTGCAAGCTTCAACATTTAGGGTTTGAAACATTGATCTGAATGCAATGATCTCAATTACCGATCGAGATCTTGTCGACGACGAGGCAGATCATGAAGATTCAACCATCGACATCGATCGCAAAGATGAAGAAGAACAAGACGATCCATTCCTTCAGTTCATCGATTACGCAAAATCGGTGTTATCTCCGGACAAAGACGAGGGCAACGATGAGTCGAGTGGACCGGCATGGAGTTGGATCGCATCTCGGATTCTCAAGATCTGTATCGCTTATTCAAGCGGAGTCACCTCCGCGATTCTACTCTCCGATCTCTCTCAGGTTTTTTCAGATCTGGTTTTCTCAATTTGTGTTGTGATTTATGTGTTTTTGTGGTTATTTGATTTGTTGATTTTGTGCAGGCGTGGAATGAGCAGCAAAAAATTGGTGTTTCGAGGAAACGACCTGAATGTATTAATCAACTGAAGAAGAAACATAAGAGATTGAAACTTCCGAACACGGTCACTATTGATTCGATTTATGAGAAGAATTTCTTGTCGTTGAATAGCGTTCTTGAAGCTGTTATTGTCGATGCCTTTCTTCTTCCAGGTACTATAAAGCAAATACCCTGATCAGTGGTGATCCTGTTGATGTGTTCTCATTAAATGAAGCTCTGTGGAGTTAATTAACATGTTGTGTTGGTGATATATTTCAATTTTGGTGAAAAATGTTGGTTCATGAAACCTATTTTACAGCTTAGGTATTGCCACAGATGTTGGCCACTGGAATCAATTGGTGTCATTGTAGATCTAAGGACAAACTTGAAGTTAGCTTGATGGATGATGGTGCTTGTGATAACAGATAGAGCATGTCAATGATGTCATGTTTGATAAATTATCCATTGATCCAAAATATTTCAAATTACACAATCATGCATGATATACTCAAGTTGATAAAGCTGTTTATCAATTTTCAAATGTGTGTGATATGCCTATTGCAAATGGTACGATTACAACCAATGAGTCTATGGCTTTGATTTCTATTCATTCCGGCATACAGTGCTGGACTGACATTCAGATGTAGTTGTCAAGTGTAGTGATTGGTTTAAATATATCTTCTTTCAGGTACATGCATCTACATGCTTACATTGGGGGATTTTTGGAGCTCTAGCACCATCGATCTATTTCTCCACCGCAGGTAGATGATTACATGCCTATTAAATGAATGCTATTCATCAACTAGATGTTGTATTATTGCAAGAATGTGAATGATTGGCTGTTTCTTTTTGCACATGGAATGCATACGTTTCTTAATAATAGCAGAGGTTCAGTATTTATTGATTTACAACCAGCGTCCCTGTTATATCATGTCATATAATGTGATTCTTGGCGAACTTCTCTTTTTACTACTAGTGACATTGTTGGGAGCTGATAGCTTCATAACTCTTTACGTTACTGGTTCTCAACATTAAGATGTCAACTTCTTCCAGTCACAATTAGTGGTCCTTGATTACTTTTCAATTGAATACAGGCTTCTAGCTGATCACAATTAGTGGTCCTTGTTTACTATGTTTTCTTTACATAGTATTGAAGTTCACATTAAATTCAATGATGAAATGGGTGCAACTAAGCAAACAGACGAGTGATGACCAGAAATATAAAGTTTGCTCTGCCAATCTTCCTTAATGTCTTTTCCGCATCAGTTGGCACCTATACTTTTTCTGTGGATTTTCATATGTATGATACTAACTTAAGGTATCTAACTTGGTTTCCAATGGAAGATTTTACAACTTGGCAGATCCTAACAATGGGATTCTAAAGAAAGGACGGGAGATTTTCCTTACAGGATGCTATCTTCGATCTGCCTCTGGAGGATCTGGTTCTTCACGACTTTTGCCAACTGAATATCTTGTCATACTGTTAGATGAGGTAACTGTGAATCTTTCATTCATCAAATTATATAAACATGTATGTTGTATAAAGATATAATTTTCTATTTTGGGGGGAATGTGTGGAGGGCATGCAAGAAACATTTGTACACCCATATCCCAATGGTGTCAAGAATCCTAAACCTTGCCTCTGACTGATAGAACATAGCAGTTAAGTTAATAGTTTGTGCTAACTCATACATGTTTTATTTATAATAATAATAAAATAAAAACTCAGAAACTTGCATTCTCCATCAATTTTTTTTTTTTTTTTTTAATCTTTGGAACTAATATCAAAATCTCTTATATCATTAAGCCCATGCTGGTAATCAAATAAGGTTGACAAACCTTATTCATTTCTTATTCAAAGTTTAAGTAGGAGTTCAATCAACATAGTTAGAAATGAGTTATTCAATGATGACCATGTGATGTCTGCTTGTATTTGAATCCATGTTTTGCAGGGTGTTTACTGTATTAATTGCAAGTGACTGTTGCTGTTTATATGATCTTATAAGAAAGGAATCTGCATTTTTGTTTCACAGTTGGTATGATTACACTCTTTTGCAGGATCAAGATGATGATGCAATGCTGCTTGGAGCGCAGTTTTGTTCTGATTCTTTCTCTTCCATTTCTCTCGGTGCAGTTAACCAAGGGGTGTCTTATTCACTATATGCAAGGTAAGATATAACCGTATCATATCCAACATTGTTTTTAGTGAACGAACTTAATTCTAATTTTCTATTTCGATACAGGTTTCGAGTTTATACCTCATATTTGCCTGAGCTCTCTAAATATTTGTCATACATCTGGTTTGAAGTTTGCAGCAGTATTACAAAATCTCTGATATTATGTTTCAATATGACCAAATCAGTCTGTGTAAAATTAGACATGTCATGAATTTGTGTGGATTATGTAAGTTCATACTAGTAGATACGTGTAGTAGTTGTGATTTTTTGGGGTATTTGGAATCTATCTAGTTTCTCATTAAGGCATTTGTGTGAGTGGATTACTAATTAGATATTTTGTTAACACCTTGTTTCCAAATCATGTGCAGGATTGAATGTATTGGGTCACTTGAAATTCAAGGAAAATATGGTAGTCTCCAAAGGAAACAAATCACTCTTGTCGATAATGATGGTGTTAGGTTAAGGTTTCTACTGTGGGGGGAGCAGGTTCTTGTTGCGAATCTTTTTAGGTAGGCCACTGTAGTGGATTGCTCCTCTAATGTTGCTTTCACTCCTATTCATGCCCATCATGTTTTTCCCTCTTTACAGTGTTGGGAGTATGCTTGCTCTGGATAGGCCGTTTGTAGCAAATTCTTTCGACACTGCAATCGAAACATGTGGAGAAATTTGCCTTGAATATGGTAGTGCGACACAGTTATATTTGGTGCCTTTCATACAACATGAAGAACAAGTATGTCATTGATGGTGTGTAGATTATAAAACATTTTGATATCAAAGATGAGTTGAACTCTGTGTTTCTTAGGTATCTGTAGCATTGACACAAAATCGGCATCAAGGATCAAAGTTGTTGAGTGCATTAGATCCTAGTCAAGGATTCAAAGTTTCTCAAGTTACCTTGCCTTGTGATTCTCAAGGCTCCATTGACTTCAACTATTATCCATTTCGAGTAAGTCACGATCTTTAAAACGTCAATACAGTGAGAATTTGCTTAGATTTTCCACTTTTTAATTTCTGTTAAACCAATGCAAATATGTAGATTTTTTTGGCCATTATATTGTAGTTATAAGAAATACATTACACCAGCAAATTTTTGTATAATATTATCCCTTCACAATTGTGAACACAGTAAGCTTGTATGTCCTTGTTGCCATTGTATTTTGTAGAGGTTCAAAAATTAAGCCCCAAATTAAGCATGAGTCTAAGTACTGAGGTCGCCCCAAAGAGGCGACCAAGAATGAAAAAAGGAGCATGGGTTAAAGCCCAAGGGAAGTGGGCCAACAGTGGGCCGAAGCAGGTCTAACCCGCCAAGGGTCCAAATGGACTCCACAAAAGAAAATGACTAAGTCAAGTTGTAGAGGCAACACATGCAACAGTCAAGTTACAAAGGTAATACATGCAGTGGGAAAGTTGCTCAGACACTTTGCCTCAGCGTCGCCATTTCTAATATCTTTGGTTCTGCCTCCATCCAAAGTTGTTGAGGGAAAGAAAAAGCCGACGCAACTAAGTTGCAGAGGCAACACTTGCAACGACTAAGTTGCAGAGGCACTTTGTCCTAGCGTTGCCATTTCAAGTAACGTCGGTGTCGTCGCCATTCCAAGTAATGTTGGTACCCCAGATGTTTGGAGTTGCTGAGGGAAGGAGAAAACCGAAGCAATTAAGTTACAGAGGCAATACTTGCAGCGCCCAAGTTGCGTAGGCATTTTATTGGCGCTGCCATCTCTAATATTGTCGGTCTTGTCATTTGAACTTGTTACGGGAAATGACTACCGCAACAACTATAGCCATCGCAACCAGCTTGCAGAGGGAACATCCCGCCAAGGTGATAGCAGCCTTTGGGAAAAGCTTCCCCTCTACAAGTAGAGGCTAATGCTTGGCGTTGATAGCAGGCTCTAAGGTATTACTAGCCTAGGGTTGATAGCAGGTCTCAAAGTTCATTTAACTTGGCGTTGATAGCAGGCCCCAAGACTTACTGGTTGGAGCTGATAGTAGGCCCAGAGATGCTAGTTTATTGCAGCGATCCCGCGAATATGGGAACAGGGTAGCCCGAGCACAAGGGATTTCCTTTCCATTACCCAAGTCATGGACCTGCCTTAAGTCGCACAGGCATGACTAAGGAAGCCCCCTTGGGCTTGGTACTAAGGCACAACATGGGTGATAGCAGACTTGGTTGTGGCCTTCGCCCGAGGAAGTTGGGGAATTTGTGGTTAGGTGGCTAAGGGTGGAGGCTTCGCTGAGGTGAGCATGAGCATAGTCGATAGTAGACTAATGGAGTCTTGAGAATGTATATATTGGCCAAGTAAAACTGAGATGGCAAGTGCAGCAGTAAGGTTTATCGCTGCAAGTGCACTTGCTGAGGTTCAGGTTGAGAAGGCAAATACAGAGGCAAACACTTCTGTTGCAATTGCATTTGCTGAGGCTCAAAAGGGAGTTGCAGTGCCAAACACTCCCGTCGCAATTACACTTGTTGAGGCTCAAAAGGGTAGTTGCGGAGCCAAACAGATAGTACACAGTAAATGCGGAAGGACATGTGGCACCTTTACCCTGGTGGCTCAAGGCAGAATATTCTATGTGATCTTCTGGGACACATGTTTTCTCTCTATTTGGCCACTTGGTGTCCTCTTGGCTGTAAGGAAAAGCCTATAAATAGGACCCATTTTCCAAGGTATAAGTGGAGGAATTTTAGGGATTTGGGGAGATGTTGCCAATTTTGGTACTGCCATACATTCCTTCTTGAGCCACTTGCTTCACCCTCACCTAACTACATGCTCTCCAACTCCCAGATAGTTGCTGCTACTCATTCTCTAGTCACTTCCATCATTATTGGACCATTAGCATAGTTTTACCTCTTTAATCACTTTCTTAACCTTGAACCCCCTTACATTTTTGGCGACTCCACTGGGGAGGTTGCTTTGTTAATGGTTCATACTGTAGTGGTTTACACACTTCACTGGAAAAAATGACAGAGGATGAAGTTCAGCAACCCCCACGGTAGCAAGGCTCTTCTAATGGTGGAGCAACATATGCAGAAGACCGTGACCACAGTGTTGTGGTTGAAGTAGTTTGATCACTCCAGGATATGCAGAGGGAGATCTTGGCAGCTTTGCAAACCCTCACTGAGACTATTATGGCCATGGTTTCGAGACTAGCTCTAATGTAAGCACCTCTGCTTGTAACAGTTCCAAACCTAGTGCCTAACCTGTTCTTTGAGGTTCGGGCTTCGATCCAGGTGCCTTCGGTGGTACCTCAGGCGAACGGTACTAGTTCACCCAGGAGCAGATTGGACCATTCCAGCCCACTTTGTTACTTTAGCTGATGTACAAGCTATGTTCGAGCAAGAGCGTAGCAAGAAGCAATTATCATCTCTCCCCGACCCAAATGTGAAACACCCATACTCTTAGGAGATATTGACTATGCCTTACCCAACTGGCTATATAGTATCCAAGTTTATTAAGTTTGATGGAAAATAAGGCAATACCAGAGAATATGTGGTGAGGTTCATTAAAAATCTTAGTGTCCATGACAGTGACCACTCTTTGCGCTGTCGGGAGTTCTCCAAATCATTTATTGAAAGGGCTTACAGCTGGTATGTGAACTTGGCTCCCAACTCGATTAAGAGTTGGGAAGAGATAGTGAACAAGTTCCACACGAAGTTCTTCCAAGTCCAAGAGAAAGTTACAACCCTCACACTTGGGTGAGATGTTCAAAAAGAAGGCGAAGATATATTGGACTATGTTAAGCGGTTCCAAGATAAGGTTATTGACTATCATGAATCCGTGGATAAGGCCCATTTAGTCAGCATATGTGTGGAGGGTGCCATACGTGATTACAAAATTTTTCTTGGTGAACCATAATCTGCCTACCTTTTCAGCTTTGATTGAGGCAGTTAGGAACCTCAGTACCACTGGTCCCTTGTATAGATCTCGTGACAGCCATCGCTACCCCCGCAGTAGCAGAGTTGTTGCGGTAACCTTTATAGGAGGGAGTCGCTCGCAAGAAGAGACGTCGCCCTCTTGAAAGAGAAAGAGTTATGAAGAGGGAAATCCATATCCTTGCAACATTGAGAATGTTAAGGCCTCAGTTAAAGAATGAATAGTTGATGGTGAACTTATTTTGCCTTATGTTGACGTCTCTCCAACCAAGAAGGACAAAGAAAGCTCAGATTATTATGTCTATCACAGAACCACCAGACACCCAACTAGGGATTGTTGGACTTTGAAAAGTATTTCAAGAAGAAAGTTGACGCAAATGAGCTGAAGTTCAAAGATGTCGGTAATCGCAATGTAAGGAAAGACCCTTATTCTAACCACAAAGAGAAGGGGAAGAATGTACATATGGTTGGGTACCTTGGGCCCGTGTGCTATCAAGTGCAAATGGCGTCCTATTATGATGAGTTAAAAGAAATTGCTAGCGGCTAGCTCCTTGAGACAGTACTTGCAGAGGCAAAATTCACAGAGGATACTCATGCTTAGGCCTTGCAAAACTCTGTCAAGTTTCGCACTTTCTTTGACCAGCTGGGGCTGAGTCAAGTCGTTAGGTTGGAAGCAACAAAGGCCCTCATTAACATTTCTAAAATGCACTATGATAAAGTTGCTGAGGTTAAGAAGTATGTGCCTCGGCGCATCCAGGAAGATTATGGGGCTATTACTTTTTCAAAAGCAGACAGAGCATACCCATTTCTTTTTAACCATTCTCTTTTTGTCACAGCTTACATCAATGATGTAGAGTTCAAGCGTGCTTTCTTTAATGGTGGAGTGCCCATAAGCATCATCATTACCAACACCTTTGTAAAGGCTGGTATCTCAGAGTCCAGGATGGTCCGCCAACCCATCACTATAATGGGATTTGGTGCTGAGAAAAAGGTTACTAAGGGTCATACTGTAGTGGACTTAGCAGTTTGTGATATCCGCTCTGCCACTAAGTTCCATGTGATTGAAGCGGACACAAACTACCACATGATACTTGATAGAGCTTGGATGCACCGAAATGGACCTATCCCGTCGAGTTATCACCAATGCGTAAAGACAAAGTTGGGAAAGCGTACAGTAACCATAAATGCGTTTGAAAGGCCATTCGGAGTGGATGAGGCACACTATTCGGATGCAGTTTTCTTTACTGAGGTGTCAACGGATAAAACTCTAAGGACTGGTAAAATTGCAAGGATAAAATTGTCGAAATGGAAAGACATTCGAGATGTTGAGGCTGCTTCAGACAGTAGTGGACAGAAGAAGAGCAACAAGTCCACAAGTCCTCCACCTAAGATTGTTAAGGTGCGCGAGGGCGGCAAGACAGTTTATTACTTATGACGGACTTGGGGGCCAGAGTTCATTCATTGGGAGAATGGCTCCGAGACGAATAAATGTGACGGTGATGATTCTTAAGAAAGGTTTGTGGAAACGCCTGAGCCCATTCTTGAATGCATGCAAGATAGGCCCAAACCGCAGCAGGAGGTACTTGCTGAGGTCAACCTCAGTGACTTACCAGGACAGAGCAAGCCTATGTTTATTAGCGATACAATGGCTCCAACAGTTAAGACAAAATTGATAACACTACTGAAGCGATACAGTGACGTTTTTGCTTAGACATATGACAAGATGCCTGGTCTTGACCCATCCCTTGTCACTCATCATCTTGATACTTTTCCCAACTCTAAACTAATCAAATAGCATGCTCGAAAATATCACCCTGATCTTGAAGCAAAGATTAAGGTAGTGGTAAAAAAGTTGCAGAGGGCCAAGTTCATTGAGCCTATACAGTACTCAACTTGGTTAACAAATATTATACCTATGCAGAAGAACAGTTAGATTAGGGTCTATATAGACTTTCGCGACCTAAATAAGGTCTGCCCGAAAGATGAGTTTCCATTGCCCCGTGTTGACACACTTGTCGATTCTACTGCCGGCCATCAAATGTTCTCCTTCATGGATGGGTTCAGTGGTTATAGCCAGA